TGCTTGTATGTGTGGTAATGCACATATTGTTTCATATTTATTACGTATGGGTGCAAATGCAAATGTATTTGATTCATCATTAAATACAGCATTACATTATGCTATTGCTTATGGTTGGTATTTTTGTGTACGTTTATTGATTGAAGCTGGAGCAAATATTAATTGTGTTAATTTATGGCAAACAACTTGTTTAGCAGCAGGATTTTTAAAAGGACATTATGGTCTTTGTGATTATCTTCTTACCGGACATAATGTTGATATTAATTTTAAAAATGAAGATGGTTTAACATTGGTTATGTTAACTGTTGGTTTGGAAGTATCCTTATCATCACAACAACAGTTAGATTATGTTGTAACAAAACATAAAGCTGATTGTACATGTGTTGATGCAAGTGGCAACAATGCTGTGAGTTTTATTTTGAACTAATAAATACAATTCGATGCTTTTTTTGTTGTTTAGTTTCATTATTTGGCAACTAATACATCAGGACAAGGAACAGATCATATGGTGAGTTAAATGTCTGAACATAGTGTAATATAGCCCTCAAAAAGCTATTCGGAAAAATGAATTCAAATGGTTCATTAAAATGCCATAAATTTTACAAATGCTTCTTCATAAAGTTCAAACATATTTTGAGCATTTAAAAATCAAATTCCTGCTTCAATATTAGAAATTTTCGAAAAACGTGGATTTATAAGTAAAGTTTTTGAAAAAAACAAAATCTAGTTCTCATTAGAAAGATATCTCGAAAGTTATGCTTTTTTAATTTTGAGGAGAAGAAGAAATGAATCTATAATTCAATTAGTTTGTTTTCTAATTATATTTTCTTCATAGAATGTTGAAGCTAAAAACACTCATCGTGATAATTTTTTCAAAATGGCTCAAATACTTCTTGATCATAAATGTGAACCAAATAAAATGAATAACAAAGCTCAAACACCTTTAATGGTTGCACTTGAATCAGGAAATTTTATTCTTGTCGATTATTTAATAAACATTGCTAAAATTGAAATAAATGCTGATATAAGTCATGATGGTAAAACTTTATTACATTATTTCACAATTCAATGTAGTAAATATGATCTTATTCAAACATTAATTAAAATCGTAATTTATTCTTATTTGCTTTTATTTTGGTAATTTATCTTTTTTTATCATTTTAGCCAATTAATGATGAAATTAAAAAAATGGGTCAAACGTTTGATAATACAGGTCGAACACCATTTCATTATTGTGCTTCACAATTTAATGAATTTTGTCAAAGAAATAAAGTATGATGAATATTTTTTTATTGAAAACATAGATTTGTTTTGTTTTAGTCTTCTCAAAGTACAGATCAATTAAAACAACAATATCAATCAATTTTGGAAATGATTGAATATTGTCTTGAATCTGTTCAATGTGATCCAGATGTTGAAATAAAACCAATCAATGAATTGAATAAATCGGATATTGAACAAAATATAGAAGATGAACATGATAAGGACGATCAAACAAATGAAAATATTCAACCTATGGATGATACTAACAATGAAGAAATGATTTTAAAACCAAAAGAAACAAGTATTTTTTCTTTATTACGTACTGTTCAATTTATTGATAATGAAATAAAACATCCTCTTGAAATTTTTCTTAAAAAATCAAAAAATCTAAATGCTCTTCATCATCAAACACAACGTACACCATTACTTGAAGCAATTTTTCTTCAAGAATATAAAACAGTACATATGCTTATAAATGAATCATCATGTGATGTTAATTTAGCAACATCAATTCTTGATAATGAACGTCAACAAACACCATTAATTTTCGCATGTAAATTACAATTATTACCAATTATACAAGAATTATTAAATCATAAACAATGTCATATATTATCATATGATTATTTATATAATCAAGCAATACATTATTATTTATCAACATCAGTTCGTTCAAATCAATACATAGATACATTAAATTTATTTATGGAAAAAATGAAATTAACAAATATTAGTTTAAATAGCCAAGGAGAATCAGAACGTGCACCATTACATATAGCTGTTTATCACAATACAGGAGCAATTGATTCTACAACTGATGTTGAAGAAATATTAATTGATAATGGAAGTGATTTATTCTTAAAAGATAAATTCGGAAATATACCATTACATAATGTTTTTCTTAATAAAAATGTTGGTAATGATCCTGTGGAATTATGTGTTGTGCTTTCTAAAGCAATGAAATATAAATTACTTGATACAGAAAATAATGAAGGAAATACACCTTTACATTTAGCTGTTGTAAGTATTTTGTAAGAATTGAAGAGCAATAGATTTCTTATGGATTTTTTTTTGCCTAGACTAAATGTTCTACTGTTTGTGTAATGCTTTTACAACAACATTCTGCTAGTTTATTTATTGAAAATAAACTTTCGAATACAATAATTGGTACTTGTATTGCATCTGGTCATCTCAATTTATTTATTACCTTTCTTCAACAATCTGTTGATATTGATCTTGGAAAATTATATACTATAGTTATCAGCAATTCATCATCAAACGATACTCAAGGAACACCTCAACATACTAGTCTATTTTCTCAAGCAGCCGTCAAAGGACGAACACAATTACATGAACAAAAAGAAAAGTCATTATCAAAAAAGGATCATATAGACATATGGCGTTGGAAACACGTTGATGTAAAAATTGATACACAATGTACTCAACATTCATTGATATATTTAATAATTGAACGTGATTGGCAAGGTGCATTATCATTAATATTAAATGAACTTGAACGTTTTCATTTAAGTTTAATACAAATTCTTGAAGCAGCTATTTTAGATAATAAACTTAATCTTGTTCTTCGTCTTTTATTACGTATAAAAGATAAAAATCTATTACATGGAAAAAATTCTCAAGAACAAAATTTATTTCATTTATTAGCTAATATGAATCAATATGATGAAAGTTTATTTGAACAAATACTTTTACTTATTCATGAATATCATTTAGAATGGAATATATCAGATAAATATGGTTCATATCCAATACATTATGCATGTGTTAAACAAAATTTTATTTTAGTTAATTTCTTACGTGAAAAATATTCAATTGAATTTAATTTAAACCAAATTGATTTATTTGGTAATACAGCTATTGGTTTATTATTTTGGACAATAGCATCAGCAACATCATTTAAAAATGAACAAATTCATTCATTAATAACATCAAGTAAACAATTAGATTGTTTATGTAATTATGATAATGAAATAGCTATGAATCCATTATCATTTGGTTATATTGATTCATCAATTGAAAAAAATCTTTATCCACCTTTAAAATCGGATAATCCTTCAACGAATGTACGAACATCACCATTAATCAATGCAATTGTTCATAATAATTTTCAACTTGTTAAATTTTTACTTCAACTTAATGCTGATGTTAATTTTCCTGATGAAGAAAAACGAACACCACTTATGCATGCTGTTCGTCAGGTAAAAACTATTTTATATTTCTTAGAGAACAAAAATATGAATGTCTATTTGATTAATCTCACTCAGAAAAGCAGAAATAAAAAATCAACACAGCCTATTAGAAGATATTGGACAATAGGTCTCGATATTGGAGGAGTTGGGGTAGACTAGTCCTACCTACTGTTTCTGTCGTGTCTGAGAAATTTCGAGTTGCTGTCGAAAAACTGTCTACAAAGTTTTATAAGGTAGTTCTTCTCAGTCGCTTTCCACCGGACAGACTGCCTCCGACTGTCTGTGAAATTTTTAGTTCCTTCCAATTCGAAAATCTACCAAGAGTTCTGATGCTGATAGTTCGAAAATTTGAACAAAGTGTTTTTGGCATTTTTTATTGTCAGAGTTGAATAGATTTCGCCGAGTCATCTTTGAAGGTATTCTTTTTTGATATATTCAAACGATGTTCTTCTAGAAAAACCTAATTTAAACAAATAAAAAAAAGCTTATGGGTATTGAAATACTCCAAAAGCATCAAGTATTAATATTCATTCGAAGTGTTTTTTATTTTACTTGTCATATGATTAAGAAAAAAATGATGCATGTTTTTTTGAAAAATACTCTCCCATTGTTGAGAAAATTAACTTTTTCGAAATGATAGCGAAATGTTCTAAAGCCGAGTTTGTGTTTAAAATTTTGACCATCACAACTTAAGTTCCAAACAAAACGAATGTTATATTCGGTATCAATGCAGAAATTTATATCTAATAAAATGCTCAATACATAAAACTAATTTTCGTCAAATTTCGGTCCTTATATTCTCTCAGTGTTTTGTTCGAATACTTTGACCTATGTTTCTCCTAAGGTCAAAATTTAATAAAAATTAGTTTTAAGTAATGATTACACTTTTGTTAATGGTAAAAATTCAATACACTAATCCAAGTTCATGTTTCGATCGACTATTTTATTCAAACTTCCTGTCAAACTCACGCTAGATAAAATGAGGTTTAAACTCAAAAGTTCTAAATCTAATAGTCTCTCGTAGATGCAGCGTATGAAATTGAAGATTATTCATAGTAAATTCAAGTTGTGTTTGCTGAATATGAATAATACTCGTCAAAATCCAAAAATTAGTAATCATAATTACAGTAAAAACTGTTCTCAATTTGAGATTCATCACACGTCTAGAACTCACGTATATCTTCGAAGAAAAAAGTGAGTGCAAGTTTGAAGTTGAAGTTTCTCGCCTCCCCCCACTACACTACAGACCTCAACAGTCGAAATTACAGTCGCTGAATGACGTTAATAACCAAGTTTAGAACATTTCAGAACCGTCCAAAAATTAAAATAGCTGAGAATAACACAGTTTCTGATTTTTACGCAGATAAACAATTATGTGATAGATATCCAGGGCAACATTTTGATATTCCACAACTGTCATATGACTAACATAAAAACATGAGCTAATTAAGTTTCTAACTTTTGAAAATAATCAATATCAGTGTTTCTGAGTTCATCCGGTTACATAATAGATCATTAAGAGCTGCTGTAGATTAACGAATGTGCATAACAGGCTTATTTGTGCATTAAATCAGTGGTTAGAATAATAATAGCAACTTATCATTAGAAAAGAACTATCGTCTTTTTAGCGGTTTTACACATTGTATATTTTGTATTAGTATAATGAAGACATATCAGTTCCATGTTTCAGTCCCAAAAGAGCTGTGCTAACAAGCTTTAATTATAATAATCAATATTTTTTTTTTCTTTCATTATATATAGAATAATATTGACATGGTTAAATTACTTCTCAATAAAGATTATTCTCCAAAACAAAAGGATGCAGCACCAACAAATACTCGACGTACTCGTGGAGGAAAAGGTCTTGGTCGATCGGGACGAGGATTTCGAAAATTCTTTCTTGGAGCCACAACAACAATTTCGCCTATTGTTACAAATGAAATATCTAATAATGATGATGATGATGATGATGAAGAAACCAATAAATTTGAAGTAATATCAGCAATCGATTTAAATGCAAGCGATTCTCTTGGTCGTACATGTATCCATCATTTAGTTCAACCATTTCCTGATGGTTCTTATACAAGTAATATTGAATTACTTCGATTACTTCATTCATCAGGTGCATCATTAACAAAACATGATCTTGCTGGTTTATCACCATTACAATATGGTGCTATTAATGGTTGTCAACATTTATGCGATGAATTAACAAAATTTACAGATGATCAAACAAATTCAACTCAAGCAACAATTGAACGTTTTTATATAAATGATCCAAATAAAAATCTTTTAGATCCACCAGATTTTTATTGTGATGCACAACAATTCATTGATAAATATATATCTAAACATCCATTACGTAAACAAAATACTGCCTATGAAGTTGATAAATTATCTGGTATGAATGTAACAGGTGAAGTATTAATTGATACTGATAAAAATGAACCATATGATGTACGTCTTACAAAAATCGATGTTAATTATGGTATACATGGTTTATATAATTTTTATCGTATGCAAATAATAAAACATAAAAGTAAAAATAATTTATATTTTCTTTTTACACGTTGGGGACGTATTGGTGATGATGGTCAATATCAATTAACACCATACTCAACATTAGATGAATGTCGTAAAGAATATTTAAAAGTATTTCGTGAAAAAACTGGTAATGCATGGAAAGATACAAATCAATTTGAAGTCAAACCTAAAAAATATACATTAATTAAATTAAATGAACGTGACAGATATAAATATTCAAATGTACCTATTAATTTTAATCGTTTACAATCTGAACAAACACATCCAACATCAAAACTTCAATCATCTGTATTTAAAAATTTTCTTAAAACATTAATTAATCCTCTAACTATTCGAACGAATATTGATAAAACACAATTAGATGTAGAATGGATGCCTGTATCACAATTAAATCGTGATGCATTACATAGAGCACGTGATTTATTAATTCAAATAAAGAAAAATCTTGAAAAAAATCAAGAATTATATTTAGAAATGCAACGTACAAAATCAATTGAACAACAAAATGAATTAAAATCAGTTTTAGAAGTAATTTATAAATGTACCAATGAATATTATTCAATAATACCATTACGTGGTTATACTGATGAAAAATTACCAATAATTGACAATGAACAAATCTTAAAAAGACAAGAAAAAATCATTTATGATCTACTTGAACTTGAATTATCATATAAAATACTTTTAGGTGCACAAGTTAATTTAAAAAATATTTCACCATTAGATTATTTATATAAATCAATGAATTGTCAATTTGAAGCTATGAATAAAGATGATATTGATTCACAATTAATTTTACGTTATATATGGGCTAGTACAACAAATATTAAAGTTGAACAAATCTTTAAAATTGCACGGCCAGATGAGGATGAACGATTATTTAAATCTAATCTTGACAATCATTATTTATTATGGCATGGTACTAGTATTTGTAATTTGATTAGTATACTTAATAGAGGTACATCATCGAAAGAATTACTCAAAATATGTTTTCAATCTGACTTTTTTTTTCTTAAGGTCTTCTTGTTGGACCTTTGGATGCAACAACAACTGGAAGCTTATTTGGAAAGGTAATATAATAATATTTTATAGAGACTGATTTTGTTACTAAACAAATAGTAACATACAGTAGTTGCAAGAAGTTCCGCTCCTGAGTAAAAAGTAAATAAACTTCAATTGTTTTGTTTAATTGTTTTGGCTAAAAATAGATCTCGGTAAACTCTGATCGTGAACGGGTTTTTCGGTTTTCCACTATTTAAATGTGTTAATCTCCATGTTGTTATTAATAAATAAGGATTCATTTTGAGGCGTAGGGAAGTCTTCATTGTTTGGGACGGTTTCAACATGAATCTTTTCTCCCTTGATGACTTCAACCATGAAATTTTCAAGGAAAAATTGATTGGAGCAGAGTATTCACTGAAAAAAGTCTTTAAGATATGGTTAAAATTAGCTGGAGATATCTATCGGTCACTTTTCGACGATTCCCATAAGCTCTCATGTGGAGATTATCCATAAACTACTTCATGTATCAGGCAAACTAAAACTATTTGTTATCAAATTCTTATTGGTGATAGAGGCAGCACAGAGCTGTCAAATGAATGGCTTAGCGTTACGATATTTGCTTTCTATATTGAGATATCTTTGTCTGAAGAAAAAAATCTATGTTGATCTTCTAGCTCCATTGTATGAAGGTCGATCAAGTCCTGATTAGTTCTTGCAATCAGAGTTCAACATACTTTATTTGTGGTCAAACTATTAGACTATAGGATTCAAGTTTAGGTACTTTTTACCTGGTAGTAGTACTTTTTGCGACAACTATTATACAGTTTATATTTATAGAGATGACAGAATGAATTTAATTCTACTAATTTTTGTTTTTGAAAACTGACACTGATGATTTGTATTCCAAAACAACGATATTTCTTTTCATTAGTTTGATAGCAGAGTTAGGAACATACGTGATAGCAAAATACTTTTTGAGAGTTGTTCCTGTTAAGATTAGATAAAGTTTTTATTATAAAAAAAGGAAGCTGTCTCTCCTATAACTCTCGTTCAACTTTTTTTCTACAAAAAAAACTCAAAGTGAAAATCTCTTAAAAGTAAAAGCAGCAATTAAGACTGAGCAATTCCTCTATTTCTATCTTCGAGTATACATTGATCATAAGAACAAAAGAATTACGATTGCAATGAGATAGTTTACAGGATATTCGAACGTGATATGAGTAATATACAGTCGATTTCTTTCGTTTTGAGATGATCTAGGCTTTTTGTCAATAGTGATAGGTATACATATGAAAATTTGTCTTCAACAATGTTGTACGTCAATAGGATGTGACGTCCCTATGGCTGAGTGGATACGTAGTTCGATACATATCCTCAAGGTACTGCATGAAAATCCTGATACTATCCGTCATGAAATGACTCCAAACAAAACACAAACGGCTGTTTGTCTCGGATCACTCTCCCAATAGCATACTGATTTACTTGTGACATACATCCGCTCTTGTAATAAGTGAGTACGTATGAGATAATCGAGCAATTGTGCGCTAGAACTTTGACGCAGGCTGATCTTCTTTTCCGAGCTACAGTTAGTATTAGTTGTAGGAAAGGTATTATGCTATGAAATCTGTTGCTAGGCAGCATCTAATACCGCAAGGAAGGGATATTCGTCTTTCCCATTGAGTTTTGTTCAATTTTAGTATTAGATAATGTTGTTTCTTTTTTATTTTTCTAGGGCATTTATACAGCAGATGCATTTGGAAAAAGTCTTGGTTATTGTTCAGGTATAACACAGAATGATGGTGAACGGTGTTTTATGATATTATGTGAAGTTGCTTTGGGTAAAATAAAGGAAGTTGGTTTAAATAGTAATGATGACGACAATACAAAACAACTTGATCTAAGCCAATTTCAAAGTCGTAAAGGTGTTGGTCGAAATATACCTGATCCACGATATACAATTACTCGAAATTATGGTTTGTATTAGTGAAAAAAAAGAATTTTTTCTTCTTTTTAATATTTTGAACTTTTTTTTTCTTAGGTGTGCGTATGCCACTCGGTAAATTAATTAACAACACAGAATTAAAATTTGCTTATGGTGGTCTTCATTATAATGAATATATTGTCTACGATGAATCACAAATAGCTCTACGTTATCTTGTGCAATTTCGTCGTTAAATCTCTTTTTGCTTGAAAGCTTCAGTGATATTTCATTATCTAGCAAACGTAAAAATGATTTTGTCTTTTTTTTCTTCTTCGTTTTTAGGATCTTTTTTCTTTTTCTTTTTTGCTCGTATGTGCTTTTTTTGTAGCATGTTGTTTCGCTCGAAAACTTTTTTGCGTTACAACATAGTTTTCGTTTATTGGGCTATTCTTTGACTTGTCAGTTTTGTGTTTGAAGGTTGAAAATAAATTTTTTTTCAAATTTGAAACGAAAAACCATTTTTTTCAATAAACTTTTTCATTGATAATCTTCATAAGAAATGTGGAACATATGAACGATTTCAAAGAAGTCGGGAGTTTTCAAAGATGTTCCTTAGAAATTCTTATGAGATAATCTCCATTGATCAAAGATAATGAAAAGATTCTAAAGTTTGACTTCTGTATAGAATTGATAGTATGAAAATGTTTCAAATTATTGTAAAAATTTTCTGTTTTTTTATGATAAAAAGCAATATCAATCATCAGATAAAATTTGATTGTACAAAGACTTAATTTTATTACTGAACATTTCTTTTCTAACATATAGGTTTTTGATCCCATGAGGGTACCCAACTATTAAATTCTAAAGAAACAGGACGTTTCTCATACCTTTTATTTCACCTCATGTGACATCATGATAACATTATGAAAAGGGAACGAGAAAGAAGAAATATCAGTTTCAAATGAAAAACAAGACGAGAATTATTCAAGAATACAATTTGCATGATTTTATCCATAAAAAAGCAGCATAGTAAAGGAAGATTTAAAAAAAATAGATTTAACATATTAATATGGGTCGATATATTTGTGTATGAACCTTTTCACATCTGAATATGATCTTTTGAAGCAATCTTTTTGACATTCATGAACGTAAAAGAAGAAGAAAATATTCAAATTCGTATGATGAACCTTCTGTGTAAAACGATTTATAAAAAATCTATTCTTTCTTACGCTCATAGAGTTGTGGAAGCCTCTATGGGTGTCACTGGGTGCTCGGGTGTTTGTGGTGGGAATATGAGTGTCTTTAAACACAAGATCTACAGCAACGTCTATAGTCTAACAATTTAAAAGAATAAGAAAATAATTCATGCTTGTTCCTTATAAATTATTCATCGTAATAATAAAAAAAAAATAGAAAAAAGAAAAACATTTACAAAACTTTCTTTGTTTGTCATTCCTTAGCAAGTCTGATGATAATGTTTGATAAATAATAAACGTCGAAACATTACAATGAATATTCCTAAAAATTAAACTAATAACTTTTTTTTCATCATTATCATAGCTGCACTTGATCTTATATATATATATTAGCTTAAAAATCGATTACGATCACCATTCAATAGACAATCAACAAGGATAAAAAGTTTAATATTTTGTAGTAATTTATTTCGATCATGATTTTATTTGATAATCAATTCCTGACGAAATCTGACTATTTTAGGACATTTATAGTCAGTAGCGATATGTTCTCCGCCACAATGGTAACATTTAAGTGAACATTCACCCTGTTTATTATCATTACTTCTATTTTGCCCACATCTTCGACAAACATCGATGGCTGATTGATATTCTTTATTTACATGACCTAGGGCATTGCATTTGGAACAAATGAGGATTTTTTGTGTTAGTAAATATTCTTCAACTTTACATATTTGTCCTTGAAGCCTAATTTTACCATCAGTCATAATTTCAGTATAATCATGTTTCTGATAAAATACCATTCTAATGTGTCGACTATTGGACCTCATTGTGTCCATCATATCATCAATTGTAAGTACCAATAGAAACAAATTTCTAATCCATGTGGTAAAAACCGGTGGTTTTACCGGTTCGGTTACCGGCTCCCATTGCCACAGTAAACTGGCGGCTTTTCAGTAAACAGCGGTTAATCGCTGATTTTTGTCTGGTTGAACGCAGTTATTCATAGTGAATCGACGGTAAATTGTGGTTAATCTTCGTTAACCCAATTCTTTATCCATGTCATCTCACCCTCAGTCAAACAATCTGACTAGAAGAACTTGTACGACTCTGACAAGATCATATATGAACTTATTGTATGATCTGACATAATCGTACAAGACCATATCAAAATCTTCAAGTTCGTGTTTCTGATAAAATCGTTCAGTATAATGCTTGTGAGATCTTGTACACTCATTAAACAACTATCTAAATCTTAACGGCATCTTCGAATACAATTTACAGTTCAAGTTCTTGCTCTACTACACTTTTTTTCCTCTTCCAGCTTCTCTCCTAGAAGAGGAAGGAAACTATTGTCTAACTTGAATTAATACTGACCATTGATCATGTTATTCCGCTCAATCTAAATACAAAGAATAAATTTTTTTTTAAATATGCATACTGACATTTCTATTCAACATTGAGCTAAATCTACATAAAAAGAGTAAAAAGTTAACCGGTAAAATTATTGGTGAACCGTGGTTTACCGGTAAAATTTATAAGGAACCGCGATATTTATCAAAACCGGCGGTTTACCACTAAAAGAGATCCGGTTTTCGTGATATGGGAAATACATCTATAACCTGGTCTTTACATAATTCATTTGGTACAAAAATTGATAACAATGGTGATATTGATGCATTTTTACTCTAATTGTCTGATGCTATGAATAAATAAAGCTTGTTAGCGCAGCCCCTTTGGGACTGAAATGTGGAACTCACATATGTTCTTCAGCTTCGTTATATTAATACGAAATACAGAAGGTGAAAAATAAAGAATTTTTTATTTTTCGTTTTCTGACGGGCGCCCTATTTTTTGTTTTCATTGTTACTATTAGCTCATTATTTTTTTTAATTTTTTTCTAATTCGTTTTTCTTAATTTATCATTCTTATTATTATAATCATTGAACTGATTGACAAATAAGTGTGTTTTACATAGCTATGATATCTACAGCAGATCTTACACACTCTGATATACATTAATCAAGTCATTAATAATGATATTCATTAGTTTTTAAAATAATAACTTGATCAATTTTCCAAAAAAAAACTAGAAAATCTAACATGTTTTATATTGATTGCTAAGGTCTGTAATAGGGGGNAAGCCATTAACTAAAAGTTGTGAGATTTACAGAAAGTTGACAGAAACTCTTATATGTTATTAGCTTGATCTTTGGAGCTTCGAAATTATGATACTCTCATGTGGTAATTTGAAAAATCAGATCTTAACTCATTCGGTAAGGGACAAAACTACTAAAGTTTAAGATTATTCTATCCATCAAAAAAATTTCATCAAGTCAAAAACAAAAAAGTAAATTAAAATCGATTGAAAGAAATTGTCAGAAATAACTTCTAAGATTAGTTACATAAGAGAAAGATAGTAGCTAAATCAGATGAAAATTCAGTTAGTTAGAAGTGTTATTTTAAACGGCTGCTTGAAATGAATTTTCGAAGAACCTTGATATCAATCAATCAGACTACGAAATCTAGCAGGATTTCCTTGAGACCCTATCAGAACTGACTGTATCATCTTCTAAATGAGCAATAAAACTCATGATGAACTTATCAAATATTCTACGATTTATTGCAGTGAACTCGAACGCGGAAAATGTCCAAGAACTGCTAAACTAATCAAAATAAAGCTAACAACTCACATACACACAAAAATTTGAATCGGATGATCGCCTTTCATGAATCCACAAAAAATATTGAATATCAGCACTTAAACCAAAAATAACCTAAGATTAGAAAATGATAATGAATTAGTATTCAAAATATACTTCTGAAAATCCTCTAAATGAGGAGCTATGTTCGAAAAATAATAGTTCAACATATCTATAACAGATTTACACCAACAATACCTAAAATTACATGGTAAATTTCGAAATGAAATTCATACTTCACTATCACCATTTTCTACGCAGGAAATTCGATGTAGAGTGACGAGTTGGAAACTGAAAAAAGTACAAAAACACAAATGTAGTTATCTTTCATAATCAAAACAGCAAAAACTAAGCGACGAAAAGACTAAAACCGTACATGCAGGATGTTTATAATAAATTTTGCGAATATAATGCATACGAACTGAAAGTGATAATGATAGCTAACTACCGGTAAGGTTGACATAGCAGCATGTATGAGAAGCAATAGATTGAGAAAGGTAACGTGTCCACATGCGCTTCGCTAGCTGTTTATATTCATCTAAATGAAAACGAAGAATTAATTAAGAAAAAATATATGCATATAAATGCAAAGCGTTTTTGATGAGTTTTCCTAATACGATAAAATAACTAAAAGTTTCGATCATATTTATCTATCAGTATGTTGAAAATTGGAAGATGATCGAGAGGCAATGGATTGAAAAACGAGACGCCGTGCAGCAGTTCCACTAGTTGCCTTTATTCATCTAAACAAAAGAAAACGATTAGTAATGAAATGAATATGTGTATCTATAAAAGATCTTTTCTGATGAATTGTCTCAATAATAAAGAAGTAAACTAAAACTAACATGATACTTAGGTATAACTATGTTTGACATCGGAAGACCGTCCAGAAACAATTGATTAAGATAACCTTTGAGCGTCGTAGTTTTCTTCGTTGTATTTACTGCTCTAAATAAAAACAAATGATTAGTTAAGAACAAATATATGTAACTATAAGAACAATCATTTCGATGAATTCTTTCATTTTGAAAATGTACTTTAAAAAAATGGTACTTTTCCATTAGCATCATCGAGACTAGACGATGATGGAGAAACAATAGGTGGAGAAAAAGGACTTCGAAGTTTTAGTCATGATTCTCATTCACTGAACAGAAACTTAAAAAGATTAATCAGGAAAAGTCCATCCATGTATTAAGAAACTGTTTGATCAATTTTCTCGATATGATTATGAACTATAGTGAATAACGATACTTATTTGTTAGCCTGATGGACACTAGAAGATAATCGAGCAGCAATTGATTGAGAAAAAACCGGGCGCCGCAATTTAACTGATTGTCCTTGTTCCTTGAAATATAAAGAAAAGATTTTTTTCAATATAAACGAGGTCCACGAGATTAAGAATTATACTTATCTATTAATATATTGAACCAAGGAACATGAACAAGAAGCAAGTGATTCAGAGATGAAAGTCGACGCCATGTTCAGCAGTTGTGTTTGTTCATCTAAATAAAAATAAACGATTAATTAAGAAAAAAAAGCTTGTTAGCGTAGCCCCTTTGGGGCTGAAATGTGGAACTCATATATATGCTTCAGCTTCGTTATATTAATACGAAATATAAAAAGTGCAAAATAAAGAATTTTTTATTTTTCGTTTTCTGACGGGCGCCCTATTTTTTGTTTTCATTGCTACTATTCGCTCATTATTTTTTTAAAATTTTTTTCTAATTCATTTTTCTTAATTTATCATTCTTATTATTATAATCATTGAACTGATTGACAAATAAGTGTGTTTTACATATCTATGACATCTACAGCAGATCTTACACACTGTGATATACATTAATCAAGTCACAAATAATGATATTCATTATTTTTCAAAATAATAACTTGATCAATTTTCCAAAAAAAAACTAGAAAATCTAACATGTTTTATATTGATTGCTAAGGTCTGTAATAGGGGGGGGGCCGTAATGGGGGGGGTCTGTAATGGGGGCCTACGTTGCTAAGTGTCTGCAATGGGGGCTACGGTTGCTATGGTATCTGTAATGGAGAGGGGGAGCCACGAAAACTTGAACTTAAAACTTACACTCACCATTTTCTTCAAAAATATATGTGAGTTCCACAAAAATATTATTGACAAGAATACAATAATATGTTTCACATGAGAGTATTCTAAAAATCATTTTTGTGAAATATTAACAAGAGTGCTCTTAATTTTGCTGAGGATACAGTATTAATTACATTGACCATAGTTTCACACGATACGACTCTCGATAATCTCTTTTTTTTTATCAAGATTTAAATGAAATGCAACTAACTCTTCAATTGAACCTGTTTTTGATTTCATTTTAACAATCAACACAGATATCTCTGATAGCGATTATTTCATGGACTTCAAAAATAAAAACAATCACATCAAAAGTACGAAAGAAAAAGTTTTTCGGACGCTGAAGCTGGTTTGAAAATTTATTGATCTCAAATGCAATCATTAAAAGTGGCATTTAATGAAGCAAATGTAGTGAGTTTGATTTTTAATGAAGATCATGAAATTATATTTAGGACAACATTTGTTTTCATCGTTGACTTTCGAATGTATCAATTTTTACTCTTGTTTAATCATCTTAATGCATTTTTTTTTCATTTTTTAACTCCTATATGAAGTATGATAAAAACTTCAAAATAATTTTATTAAAAAGATTTTAATAAATCATTGTTTTCAGATCTGAATTTTTTGTACAGATGTTTTACCATATCGATATATGCATTTGAACATGTTTTTCTCATTCAGCATATGTTGCCCAACACATATCTTCATGAAATGTCTCATCTAACCGATTCATTTTATTTATAAATCTTTGTTGTATGAGTTTACCAAAGCCCTAGCAAATATTTATTTATATCGTTGTTTAGTCTAAACATCGAGGTATTCAAAGACATTATAGAGGCATAGTCAAGAAGAGAAAAGAGAAAGGGAAATGTCGTATGTCATGTGATAACTTGCCGTGTAAGTCTTATGTTTCTTTTCGATCAAATAGTAAACATTACATGACGAAGTAATAACATGCGAATAGTTAGGCGTTATCCATAATGAATGTTCAGCTCAATGACCTGGAAACGGCCTGTCAAAACTGGGCAAATCTGGGCAGAGGGAAACGACGGTCAAACATTTCTGGATTTTCAAAAACTTACAATGAATGGTGAATGTTTTCCTTCTTTTTCAAGCAACGTTCTGCGAAATTTTGAAGTTTAGCTTGTTTAAAGAGGATTTTTAAATAGAACATGAACTGAATGTCAATTAGTTGAACATGGTGTTGAAATAACTCAAGATTATGCTGCATGGATCCCTAGTCATTTACTGGAATAGTCATATGAACGTTGTTGAATTTTCGAGTGTCATTGGTATTGAAATTCATTTTTTGTTTTTCTATTTTTGTATTTTTACTGTTTTCTGCTCAATTAATAGAATGTATTTAAAAATTAACAACTTTAGAATAGATTAAGTTTTTGTTTGTGGTTTATGAAATATATGTTTTCTCTTTTTTATGTCCATTTCTCTATTAGACATATTAAACTAATGAACTATTATTGAACAGAAAGATGTAGTGCATTTGTACAAGCAGATGTTTGCTCACAGATTTTTTATATTGGACGTTCAGGAGAGGAGGAGGGATGTCGATAAAACTTTACAGAACTAGGAGTAGGAGTCGAATATTACTACTTTTATCTGGATGTTCTTTTGAGATAATCCTTTATTTTGATATCAAAGGAAAAGAGAGAGAAGGAGAAGAATTAGACTACTTATAAAAGGCAATGAAAATCGAGAAAATAGCCATTATCACAAATGTCTGAAAGTCGAGATGCAGATTTTTATTCATTTTTATTTATTACTTTAAATGCGATACACGATAGACTTAGATGATCATACGAGTGATGAAGAAAGATAGCTGAGTCTTTAGACTAGAGTCAATTGGACGATAAGTAGAGCAAAGCAAAAGAAACGTTTGTTTGCTTGATGAGAGAAGAAAAAGGCGCGAAACAGAAATGAAAAAAAAATATAGCAATAATCAGAGATGAAGAAGTAAGAGAACCTTGCAAAGAATTGTTGATACTTCTACACGATACAAAAACCCATACATTCACTCTGTGTTGTGTGTGATTCAACTAGATGTGTGTATCATGTAGAAAAATTTTTATTTTTTTTCTCAAATATCAACTGAGGAAAAAGCAAAGTATGAGGAGAGCTTTTTATTCATTAAAAAAACAAGGGTCTTTTTTCTGTTTTAGTGGTTTGGTTCAAACGACAACCTATGCCATAAAAACCGGATCATTTTTAGCGGTAAACCGCTGGTTTTTATCACATGGGAATGCTCAGATCACTCAGAAGTAGCTAAATGATACTTTGGAACCGATGAAAAATGATCTTCAGGAGATTAAGACCGCCATCAAGAGCTTGGTTACCAAATTTGACTCGATGCTCAAATCTTACTTAGAACTGATCCAATTTCTTTTACCTAGCCGGACTAGTTGGTCTACAGTTAAGATTGAACCAGTAAAAATCAGCTGATTTCAAAACTTTGACCGAATCGGCCAGTTTAGCAGTGGACAGTTCGACCAATCAATAGGGAAATTGTTTTCACTTATGTAGAAATGGTTCACGCCACATGTAGTCATACATATCAACACGAAATGGAAAAAGGAATATAAGCATATATCTGTCACGTTTCATTTGCTAAAGAGAAAACTTCAGAAAGAAGAAATAGAACGAACGAATATGAAAAGACAAGCTACGTCTGAAGAATAGTATGCTTAAGAATTTCTTAAGTGGCCATATTTTTCTTTTTGACCTTGGAGAATATATGATTTTGTAGCTTTTTAAAGAGGCTATTAAATGAGGAATGACAGAATTTTGATTATTCCAGTGTTCAAATCACAACATTGTTTGAACGATATGAACGGATGATAAATACAGTCAACATTCTACTAGTGCCTACTAATATATCCAGTCGATATATCATGGAATTAAACAATCCGTTGGTGATTTTTATATGATATTAAAGCTTCATGAAAGAGCTATCAAGTTCATAATTTCAGTGCTTTAGTGTCTTATCTACTAAAACTAAAATAAAATTCACTGCAAAATCTCATCACACTAGTGTCAAAATGTTAGTCTTAGCATACTCTTTCCATTTATATATTATTCAACGGAGTTGGCCAAGAAAAGTACTGAGGGGCTGACCTTACCCTCCTATGCGTCTCCGTCCTTTGATCATAGCGATAATTTATATAGAAAACGTTGAGACGTGCAGAACGCAAAGAGAAATGATGGTGCATATGATATACAAAATGCAAAATTTCAGCAAAATGTTTCTTTTTATACATGGCTAGATAGAGCTCGACGAGCTGAGTAAAAATATGTATTTTGTTATTTCTTTTGAAAATGTTTTGATTGAAAAAATCGAGTTTTTTCGATAGTCCTGAATGACTCATTTTTGTCTAAAACTACGCTTTTCACAAGAAAAACCTAATGTATTTTTTAAATTCAAAAATATTTTCATTTAATGCAGTTTATAAAACTGATATGTTAAGGTTTGCCAGGAAATAACTGAGCGTGTGAGACTAATTTTTGGTAAGGTGCTGCTAATGCAAAGTCGAGCAAAAGTTAGTTTTTGTTGGGTTATACATAAGTGGATAGAGCTCATGACGCTAATTATAGATATATGGTATCTAATTTTTTACACTGTATTCTGTGCGAGAAATTTAAAAATAAATAAAACGTCTTATAGAAAATAAAAAATAGCCATTTCTTTTGAAAAGGGTGTGGATGTTAATAAAATGAAAATGCATTAGAAGCCACGTGCATACGTTATTTGATGCGGATTATAAAAGAAAGATTTCTGTTGATAAAATCTATATTTTTCACTAGCTAAATTTAAAGTTTTTACTTGTATAAAATTAATTTTTTAATACTAATTATATATAACAAACTCGCCATTTGCAATTAAATACTAATGATTCAAGTACTGAGCATTTAATCTTTATACGAATCATTTGTATAGGTTTTTTTTATTGACTACTTAAATTATAGCTTGTAAAATATATTGTTTTCTCACAAAATAAATATCAAAGTTAAACATTGCTTTACAATTATAACAATAAAATTGAACTCATAGTAAACAATAAATATTATATATCAACACGTATATACTGTTATAAAAGTAAAAAAAAAAAAATATAGATTTTTTTTTTGAAAGTTAAGATAAATTAAATTCCATCCAAATTGGACAATGGTCACTTACTAAACCACCCAATGTCCAACCATTTGGAATCCAAAAATTAGTAAGATTATCACGAATAACTCCCGTGTTTCCTAAAAATAATAATAGTTTAATTTAATGTTAAAAATAAATCCTACCTGTATTCAAATTTTTCGCTTCCTCTGAAAGCCAAATATTATCTACGCAAACTGATCCTTGCGGTTCTTTTAAACTAATATTTGTATTTTGTTGAATAACATATGAATAATTACATTTAACTAATGAGTCAAATTCTGAAGCTGTTGGAACATTATTAAAGTCTCCAAAAATTATTACATGTTTTTGCTCTTAAAAATAAAATATAACAAAAAAACAAACAAATCAAGCTTATTCTGTTAATCTTACCAATAGTATTCTTCATTGCTTGAGCTAAAACTGATAATGATTTAGCTTCATCTTTTTTTTCTGAAGTTTTATCTTCATCTGATTTTTTTGTTGTTAAATGAATATTAACAAAAACTAATTCAAGTTTATTAAATATACGAAATATAGTAATATATGGTAATTGATTAAAATATGTTTTAAATGGTAATAATGAAGCTTTTTTAAATTCAATACCAATTGATTCATCATACAGAAATCCAAGATATTCAGTTCCCTTTTACATTAAAAATAAATATGAGAAAAAGAAAGAATATGTATATTAATTTACTTGTAATATTTCACCAGAGACATCACTGGTCGTAGATCTCCATTTTCCATGGCGACGATTGGGCCAATTTTTAATTGATGGAATAGTTGGATTATTTAATTCTTGTGCAATAGAATCCAATGATTCTTTATTTCCGATTTCTTGAATACCAATCAATGAAAAGCTAAGCGTATAAAAATTAGATCAATTGAAAAAAAAAAATTTTTTCTCTTTACTTATTTTCGAGTATAACTCGACAAATAACTTCCCTAACACCTGGGTTTTGTACCTTATCATTTGTTAATTGTCGTAAATTCCATGAAGCAAAACGAAAAGTATTTGGTTTATTACTATTGTCATGAATAGCAGACAGACGTGAAGGATATGATGAAGTAAGTATTGCTTGCATTTCACTTGGTAATGTTTCTAATAAATGCAATACAAGTGAAAGTGTATCTTTGGCATTATTATCACTTCTATTTAATATTGATTGAAGATTATTCAATGAAGTATAACTAATAGAAGGTCTAATTTGTTGATCACCGATAGTGACAAAAGGACGAATAGCTTCTAAAACAATGCAATCAATTCCTTTTATTTTAAGTAAATCTCCGAGAGAACGAAATAATCCTTTTCGTTCACGACGTTGAATTATTCGTTTAACAATATTTGATGTTAAACCAGCTACTGAACATAATTCATCATATGATGCTAAATTTAGATTAATAAGTTCTTTTTTATTATTTGATAAAGAATAAGAAGATGAATCAATAGTGATATCAGCATAAATTTGTCGAAGTAAATTTGAATTTATTCCATTAACTTGTAAGAGTTCATTGATTTGCTTAAAACCATTATGCCTGTGTCGATATTCAATTATATTATTTGCTAATTGTCGATTTATGCCAGGTAAGAATAATAGTTCATCCTCTGATACATGATTTAGATCAATTACATTATGATAAACCGGTTCTTCATAATCATGATTTAGTTTTGATATTGAACTACGACGACATAATGAATGACAATTATTAAATGAGATTGGCAGACAACTATTTGAAATACCCATACTGTGCTATGCTCGATGTATTTTTTTATTTATCTCAAGAAGAAAAAAGAATAATAGAAAAAAAAGGTAACTTCGCCCTTGATCGATTCTATTTAAGAAAAATACACATATATGATAGTAAATGATAATATTGATTCAGTTTGTATTGATGAGATCAATGCATAAGCCAATGTTTGATTACTTTTTTTTGTATTCTTTGCTGAAATGAAGGATATATGTATGATATTCAGTTGTTTATTGCTCTTTCATCGACGTAACAATTGGAGACATACATAACGAGAAAAAAAGAAAAAAGATAATTTGACATACTCATCAAAATGACAGAGTGAATGAAATCAGACTCATTTTCATACGAAAAACAAACTGACAAATGTGTGGTGATGATAGATAGCCAATCATGCTTGAGTTATTCAGAAAAATTTATTTCGACTGACTGTGTGATTTATTCATCTTTGTACAGCTTATTATACGGTAACCAGCTGCTCTCATAATAATATTTAAGCATTGTAGCTACAGTTGAATAGAATTTTTTTCCGTACAGATCAATGAAACACATATAGTTAGTAAAAGCACAAAAGTATATAAAAGGAATGAAAAAGAAAATACAGGCATGTAACATATAGACACTGTATTGATGAATGACATAAAAAAATAGAATATTTATCGAAAGCAATCATCAACCGAATAATAAAATAACTCAATACGGATAAAAATGAAAAGTATAGTCCTTATAATTATGGACGTCTGTTAAGTCAAGGGAAATTGCATCATTTGAATCAAACAAGAAAGCCTTGATTGCGTACAGAACTAGCAACATATTGATATTGTTGTAATCGTCTAAGTTTTTCCACGTCAAGTTCGTGCTTCACCTTACAGTATTCATAACAGTTGTAATAAAAACAAATGATCAGAATAAATATAGGAACTAATATTACCAATATAGTACGATTTAAGTTTGTAGAACAAGTATGAAAAGGTACACAGAATTCAAATGACGCCGATGATGATATCTGTGATGGATCATTTACAATAGTTGTTGATGCTGGATAATGTTTTTCAATCCACCATTGTTTTATTTTTGATTGATTAAAATAATCTTTTATATTAACAGATTCTGCCTTGCTTGCTTGAATTATAAATAAAAATTTATAGATTAATATATGAAATCATCCAAAAACGGCAACACTTACATGCTACAAACGTGATTAATAAAACTAAAAAATAATGAGTTGATTGATACATATTTTGAGTTGGCTAATAGAGAATATTCTTATCGTGAAATGTAGACATACTAAATACATTCAGGTGTCATATTAATGACGCATAAAAGCAAAGAAAGTCATAATTCAAATAATGAATATGTTTTTATTATCTCTTTAGGGTTATTACGATATTTAATTAATATCGTTCTAGTGAAAAAAGAAAAATTTGAATTTTGTTGTTGAAATTATTCTTATAATGATATTTATACAACAGAAATGATATCATCTACAAATAAAACTCTGAGAACAACTTTTTTTAAAAATCTCCTAACAATGAATCGATTGATTTAATTGAAAAAAAAAACAATTATTTTTAATATTCATATTTAGAGGTCTCAAAAAGTTTATATACCCTCAAAAGTCACAAGTAAATCATCTGCATATAATTCGAGATATTATTTTTCCTTGTTCTATGTTGACAAAAAAAAAATATGCATAATACATTGAGTGTCAGACAGGTTTTGATATTATTATGACTCATGAAACAATAAACTTGTCAACTCTTCAATAAAAAACAATAACATTACGGTGCATTTTGTTTATAGAAAACATCACTCTATATTAGCAATCAACCGTTTGAAAGAGAAATAAAAAGACTTACGTTCTTTGAATTTGTTAAATCTTTATCTTCATTTTTATCAATTTTTCTTTTACTTTCGAAATATCGAACAAATTACCTTCTTTCTTTTGCCTACTGGACATCTCGTTACAAATCAATATTGCAATCGGCAGATAGCAGCACTCCATTCAGGTAAAAAAATTCATGTATACCATGTATATATGGTAGTGGACGTGTATTGCTTCTCATTGCACAGAGTTCGCATTATTTAGCAATATGTGATCATCAAGAGAAAATGTACGCATACGATCAAAGATAACTTCAAATGTAATCAAACGAATACAAAGACATATACATGTTAATATATATCAGTATCTTCAACAAGTATTCCTTGTTAAAAAATAAAAATAATGTTGATGAAGATGATAAATAATATTATTACTTTCATTTTCAATATCAAGTGTTTAGATGATATCCACAAGTGATATACAAACATATTTCGTTTCAAGTGATTCATCATTTTTCGCCTTTGGATGTGAAATTTAATTTTGAAATCGTGTAACTTGTAAGAAATATTTCTTTTTTGTCTTGAGATTAAAAATAGATATGTATTTAATTCAAATTGATATCGATTAAACTTACAAAATTTTGTTCGATCATAATAAAAAACAGGATAGAATTTCAAGTCTCGACAGCAACGAAATACATTTTAGAATGCTGAATAATGAATTATTTCATCGTTTATTAAATTTAATTAAGGTCAATGTCGGTAACTTATCGTGTGTTCTTCTTGTCATTCATCTTTCTCCTTTGAACTTTGTTGTTTTTTTTTTAAATTTAGTAATCTGAGGGTAGGTTTTAACTTAAAAAAGATCTGAATAGAACATTAAAGAAAGCAATGTTAAAAATAAAATAATTTACATTTGATTAGAATACTCCAGAGTCTCTACCAGAGACTTAATGGAAAAAAAAGATCTTTTGTCGAAAAGAAATTAAAATGAACTTTTAGACACACTTAGCCAATCTTTTTAAGCTAAATTTTGTTTAGTCCTATTTACTTTCCAAGTGTCGTTGAATTAATTATCAATAAATGAAAGCTATAATCTGATAATACAATGGTTCAAATTGCTTCCACATCATGAAAAGTTATGGTTACTTTATTAATCATGACTAAACATTTTGCATCTTAAATTTATTGCAAAAGTAAAATAATGGTTGTAACGTCTGCAGCGAATTATTGTTTTCTAGAGATTTTTATATGGATCGACAGAGTTCGACAAGCTCGATGAGAAAATAAATTTCACAAAAATTCTAATCTTGTTTCGAATACAAAACTTGGAGCAAACCAAAAAACCTAATAAAAATATCATGTAATCTAGCATTGAAGAGAGTAATTTGAACTTTTAATAACTCTACTTGATTTACTACTTCGTCTGTTCATGTTGCCTCTGAAGGGTTATTTTCAGTTTCAGTATGTGATACTACATCTCGAAGTATTAATTATCAGTCGATTAACTAACGTTATTGAAAGTTAATCATACACTCTCCTGTAACATTAGCGAGACTTTATTAGTCTATTAGGTTCCATCCATTTTTGTTTTGGAAATAGGACCAGAAGGTTTTTTTATATTCGCGTTCTTGTAGAGTTTGTCAAACTCTATCGAATCATGTGAAAATATCTAGAAATTATTATTTTGCTCAATTTTAATCACTCAGCAATTACAAGAATATTTTTGTTTTAGCCGAAAAACTGTAAGATGTAAAATTCTTAGTTATCTCTGGCACATCCATCTTATAACTTTTCCCGATTTTTATGAAATTCGATCTAATTTCTTTTCAGATTATAGCTTTAATCTATATCTACAAAACTGTATATTTTAGTCAACTATCTACATATGTATTTTGTATAAATAAAGTCAATGTATAGAGAAGGATCGAAAGTTTGGGACTACCCTTTAGTTTTCACCAAGATTCTAATTTTTTTTTATAGAAATCTACTGAATATAAGTAAAACGAAAAGACTCAACATATTGTCGCGAGAACAATAGTCTTCAGATTTCTTTGAGTGCTCAACGCTTTTTCCTCAATGTTTTTATATTATTGTGAAGCTTTTGAAAATTGCTATCGAACCATATGAAAACTAGTTTGGTCGTTCGTGAAATGAGTAAATAAAAGAAAAAGCTGATATTCATCAACAAGTCTAATTCAATGTGCATGTGGCGGATGATCCTTGACTATTTCATTCTACCTGTGAAAAATACAAATAAATGCTATACGAATAATTCTATCATAGCTCACTTTCAAACATTGTATAATGGTTTGACATAGAAGAAAGAAAATTTCTGGAGGGAACCATTTTCAATAGTTATTGACCTTTCATTCTCTTTCATTGACTTAGAAGGATTAACATTGTTGACATGAAGTTTTTTATAGTACATAATTATATGTTTAATTTTTTTTTTTCACTATAACACTCAAGCACGTTCGATATTTGTTAGTAAACAAGATTAAAAAAATTGTTAAAAAATGTTCCAGTTTAATTAGTAACTTTCTATGAGTAAACATGCTAGAATTAAGATGAGAAACTATCTCATAAATACGAGATCTATCGTTGAGAGTAGTCATAGACAATATGCTCATTACACACGAGCATTTGCTGACACTAAAAATAATTTTTATCGAAAGGATATTAAGCTATCATTTATTTATAAACTGTTTTCTGAGACTTTTTTCTGCTAGTTATTTATCCTATGTCATTCTGTTTCGGCGCATTTCATCATAAGTATGCAGCTCAATGAATTCTATCAATAAAAACTTGAATTGATGACTTAAAAATGAAAAAGAAAGATTGTGAAACTCTTAATGAAATTGGAATCGTCAGTTGTTAACGGACACTTAGTGTATGCTTGAAGCACTAAATGTAGAACACATTTTTGAATTACGTATATGGCTTGTCCAATAGCATAAATGTGTATGATGAAACTATAAAATATATAATTATATGTTTTTTATATTCATTCATTTCAAAGTGGAAGGAAATAAATTAAATAAGTGAGTTACAAAAGCGGCATGCTAATATATGACGATCTCATCTTTTCTAAAAATATGAAATTTGCAAAAGAAAAGTTAAAGAAATAAATTTGATTATTTTCATCCATCTCTCTTTGCTCGTTTAGACGAAATAATTGAGTAGAAGTGCGACAGATAAATCTAAAAGTAATCATAATAGAATACCAACAAGAATTTCATCCAAACTAGTTAATTATTATAGTGAAATATTTCCGTGCAAAAGTATGATAATTATGAATTGATTATACAATCTATGTGATTGTTATGTTTTCTTTTAATTCAGATGATTCATTATCACTCCATTATAAATAACAATTTAGGTTAAATCTATAATAATTAACAAAGTACGAGTACGATAATGCTAGAAGATTTTTATTATTGTTCATCATTGTTTTAAAAATATAAGGTTGTTATTATCGCATGAGGTTTCTTGGAAAGGGCCTCTTCATTATGTTGTCTAAAAAGAACTTGATTTGTATCCGTAAAACGAGATGTTATTGTGTAGTCTATATTTTTTTTCTCGATCTAAACATTTTTCATTGCCATAATGAAAATATATGGTATGTTGTTCATTTAATGCACTAAACAGTATTCTAAAAAAGATGAGAAAACATAGAACATAGAGATTAATCTAGAAAATGAGTTACTACATATTACAATAGCCAGAAATTTTTAGATCTTTTCTATTCAATACCATCATAATTCACTTGTTGTACTAGGCATTTATCGAAACAGAGCCGCCACTGAAAATTATGAAAATATTCACTATGAAAAACTTACAAGACGTTTATTATGAGATATTCGATTCTTTTTCATCTAACTGTGCATGAAACCAAACAGATCGATCCAAACGAGAAATATCCAAGTATCAGTTGAAACTACAATTTTTTCTCATTTCTTTGAGTGAGACTTTTTTTTTTTGCTCTGATAGATTTGCTGGCTTCTATACACAGTTAAGCGAAACCAAACTGAGTAGTTCGCAAATATTTCATAGAGAAAAACTCTTGTAATGTTCAGCTATTTATCAGACTTGTCACGTGGCTATGTTACCAATAGAGAAAATAAGAATGTAATAAAAAAACTTAATTTTTTTTTCTATCAATGTTTTAGTTTTTAATTGTCATGAAAACAAGCTCTTGAGATGTTTTCTAATTTGTGTAATGAGTTTCTTGTTTGACATGTGCAGTAAATTATTGAAGCGTTTAAGAAATGAGTGATTAAAAAAATGAGCCTAGTTTATCAAAGTTACAAGGAACCATATTTTCTTTTTCTACAAGTTTATATGAATAAAAGAATAAGTATCACAATAAAAGTTATTAATTAACATTGAACGTAAGTATTATCGTGCTGTT